TATATATATATATATATATATATATAAAAGCCGTGGGGCAAGATAAGGTAAGCCGTGGTGCAAAAACATGCACGCGCCTTCGGTCACAACGTTGCCATATGCAGTAACACTCAGCTCTCGTAATGTTAAATATTAAGCTAGAAGAGAGTACGGTCTCGCTTTAAGATAGAAACTGGTATAAACTAAAACCTGGTGGTTGTAAAAGAAACTGAATCGGTATGCGCAGATGTACATGTGATTTCCTAGATATATTGCAGCTCTGTTTGCTGAAACTGTCAACGCATGGCGCTGACAACGTCAGAGAAAAACGGGTTGTAAATAAAATATTCGGACCGGATGGAGAGGTATCACCAGCATTAAGTTTAACGTAACGTAATAGTCTACTTTTGTAGCTATGTCATAAGTGCAATGTGCATGTTCAGCTTTATTAAAACTGTGTAAGGAAAGCTGCTGCAAATGTAGATAAGGTTAAATTTTGTCCAGTCATTTGACTTACGAAGATGTTTTGAGAAGTTAGTGGAGCTGAAAAATCCAGGCTTCACGATGCCAGTTCATGGAGTAAGTAAGAAAAGTCTTAATTGGTTGTTGTGCCTACACTAAGTATACAACTGGAAACAACCGAGTAAAATCCTTCAAGTAATATAATTTCAAAATTATTTATTTATATTACCAGTACTTTAATATGTTTCCAGAGGACAAAAATTTTGTTGTTTTTTTTATATATTTTTTTTCATGTAAACCCAAATAAATTAAAATTTTATATTTGAACAAAAACAGAATCTGTAGGACATTTTTGAGGACTTGCATATTTTTTCTTATCCTCTTTGACTTTGTTTTTCTTGTATTATGCAAGTCTAATTCAGTACTTTTATATTTATCGAAATTTTATTGCAAAGTTATTGTTTATTTCACCAAAAAGGAAACTTTGTACACAAATATTAATATATACATACGATTTAATAAATATTATTAACACTTTGGCATGCTCAGTTTTGTTGTATTCAAAATACCATTATCATAGTCTATCAGGATTGTAATGTTCTTTATTGTTCTGTCAACTTGAACACAGTTAAAGCACTCTGAATGTTTTAACATGCTATAGATTTAAGTTTGGATAGATTACCCCAATTTGTTTTATCAATTTTGTTTAAGGTTTTAATATACTGAGAGTTGAGTTCAGTTAAATTAAAATAAATTTGGAGTTTCACCACATTATTACATGCAATGTCGCCATGTCCAGTCATGCTCTATCTCATAACTGTACATCTTGGCAGTAGCCCTACAGTTCAGGTTCCATTACAGTAGACTCTGTTTTAAAGCCGTCATGTTCAAAGCATGCCTCTTCTTCATACTGGGTTTTCGTAATTCATCTAGCATACATTGATGACAGTTTCCCAGCTCCACTTTCAACAGTCCTATCATACAGAAATCCAAAGGTGCTACATCCAGTGACTTGACCGATATGTATTCATATGGAATATCACAAATACTCGCTTCATTCTGCAGCTACTTTAGGTATGCAATGATTGAATGGGAGGTATGACTGGAAGCCTTATTTTTGTGAACATGTACCCTGTTGGAATTGTTTACTGAAGAAGATCCTTCTTGATTATGTTGCCTAGGGCAAATGGACAACTTTTACCACTAACCTTTGTGTTTGAGATTTCTCACCTGTAACTAAATGCCACACTTTAGTTACCATTCCTGGGGTATGAATCATTTCCCATCTATTTCTGAATGGTCATAGTGTCCCAACTTCATCATTTCTTTATTTTTCCATTGCCATCACGTACAAAGGATATTATCACCTTGGAAATTGTAACTTACCAACCAGAACACATTCATGATGTGTATATGTGAATATTTTGGGTTGGAAGGGGTTTTTACATATCATTTCCTAAAACCACCAATTTTTGGTAGCATCCATCGCACTACCTACAAAAAAACAAAAACTGTCAAAATATAGTTCTGACATATTCTGTTCCACCACAACTTTAAATCAACTGCAGTTGTCATTTGACTTGTTTATTCACAATCGTGATAATATCTAATATAACATACTCAACTGTGTATAACAGAGTAATGTGGTTTCCTTTCAGATTGTGGAGTTACATTATCAGTCACCTGTGGTTGATACTGTTTCTTGTGATATAACATGTATTTGCAGTGATTACATTTTGCATCTGAATATTACACATTTGACCAATAGATGTCATCATTTTAAAGTGGTTGTAATTTAATATTGTAATTTTAGAATGAGAATTCCACTTCATAAATATTGTTGAAAATTGTTACCATTAAGAATATGTATGCAGACATAGGTTTGATTAAGAAATTTTCAATTTCATGTTTTTTTTCTTTTGTAATTGTCAAAAAAAAAATTCTCATTCAAATTGCACAAACTTGATTAAAGTATTTATTAAGTTTCAAAGAAATTAACACATTCTCCAGAACAGCTGAAATTTTCATAATTAAAGGTTTCTTATTTGGAAGATGCTACAATTGATTGTTTTAATTGGAAGAAACCCAAGACCTTACTGTAAAATAATTTGTTAGTCCCTAAAATTGTCAGAATTTCTGCAAGTTTTGTTATTATAGAAACAAAACAGTTATTGCTTCAGTCTTTTCAGTTCTTATCTGATCTAGCAACTTGTACAGTATGTATACAAGCGTATGGAATTGTATGGCATATTGATAGCTGGTATGTATCATTAGATCTTATTAACTTAATGTTTTTGAACTAACCTAGATAGTGTTTCAAAGATAATGATCATGCACTTGTATGCTGTTGTACACTGTTATGTTAGGCTTTGTGACAGCATATTTTGCACTACTATTTTAGGTGAACACTTAAATAGCCAGTTTGTGATTAATATCATAATTGCTCTTCATAAGTTAATTTAAAAAAAACATTTTGTGAACCATTACCTGAAAAAAATTTATTTTCGAAGATATGTTGTTTATATACTTATTTTGTTATTTAACTTCATATGTATGTTTAAAACTAGTGGTACTTACAAAATAGATAAGCACTTGTATATACAGTTCTAAGTCTAGGTAAACAAAAAATTATGGGACATAATGGAAGTCATTATAATTTAAGTCTTGATTGTTTGAAAAGTTTATTGGTTTTCATGGAGTAACCAAACATTCAAGAATCTCTGATTATCCATTTTTACAAGCAAAGTAAAATTAAATGTCATTCCAAAAAAACAAATCGGATAAATTTCCTAATTCTTAAAAGGTAGAAATAAAATACACTGCACATACTTTGGTAATACTAGAAGGTGTAATTTATGGTGATTATACAAATTTTAGATAGTTATTAAAAAGTTAAGCTGCTAGACAAAGTAACTTTCGTTATAAAGATTTCATGATTAAGTAGAATGATTCAATATATTTAATTAAATCTCATAAATAAGTGAGTATTTCTAATTTGTTTGCAAAAATGATGTGATAAATAAATTTCCTGGATTAAATAAGTATGCTTATTTTTATTCTCAGCTTTCTTTTATTTTCTGGCTCAAAGGATTCAAAAAGAATGTAAAAACAGTAAAGTGTTAATCTTTTAAAAGGTTTTTAGAACCTACTTGTATATCAGTTGATATGTAATTCAAATGATTGAGCTGTAGTTGGTGATTATAATAATTAATAACTATGAAATACTGTTATAGTGTTGTTTTTGTTTTCACTGAGAAGTGAAAAATAGGAAATTTATATATAATTTTTGTGCATTGTCTAATAAGTTGAATAATTTTTCTTGTAACAAATAGACTTGTGAGATTCACATGCACTTATTTCCGTTACATTTTCTTCTGTTCATTCTTACAGACCTAAAGAAATACTATAGTTTCATACCAGCATTTATTCTCACAGATCTGAGAAAGATTTATTCTAGTTTTTACCAATATCCATCTTTACAGGCATGCCAATAGTTTATTCTTGTTTTGTACCTCTAAAGTTTTATTCTACTTTCTCACCCACATTTTTTCCTACAGGTCTTAGAAAAGTTGTTTTAACCTTTTCCTAACATTTGTTTTCTCAACTTTGAAGAAAAAATTGTATTCTAGTCACTTAGCTATAACTTATTCTACAGGCCTGAACAAGTAGAACAGAGACTAAGAAACTTAGAAGTGAAAGAAATTGATGATGTGCGTAATCTTTCAAATCCTCAGGTAAAATGAACATTTGAGTTTTACGTAGAATAACCACAGATAGATAAACAAATTGTAGAGTTACAAATATCTCTTTTAATAGTGGTAAAAATAAACTACTACAAATATAAGCTTAAATTGTGTGAGCTACTTAGTTGTTTTAAAAAATATGATAGTTTTTAAAAAGTTGTAGTACACTTTTATGTTGAAATGATTTTTTTCGTAAAAAATAATTTTCATTTATCCTAACCTTAACTTCATTAGTTTCATGAAGTCACTTAGTAATTTATAAGGTCTTGTTTCAAATAGCCATTCTCTGTGTGTTAAAATATGCCTACAATGAGCCTAGCCTATGCCTTTGTTTCTAGATTGTCATTATTGTTTCTCTTGCATTTTATTGTGATCTAATGGCAATGACTGTGATTCCTTTTTTTTTTATGACTTAACTGCGTGTGATGATGCTTAGCTGGCATTTCTTTTGTAGTCCTTGCTTCTGAATAATTCTTATTTTGTTCCTTATTTTGCTGGTGTTGCCTCATCTACTGGCATTATTTTTGTATTTTGTGTTGTTGTTGTTGTTGCTTGTGTGCTACATGGTATTAAATTGTATTAAAGAATTTCCAATTTTTTTATAATTCTTGATAAGCCCACTTTAAAATTCTATTAAAGAACCTCAACTGTCTTACAAAAAAACTATTTCACAGATAAATTTTCAGACATCAGGTTTTGAATCCGTAGCCATGCCAACCTTGTGGTGCACCATTCCCACTTTTTTTTGATCTACTTTCCTTTTACGGTAGATTTTTTTTTTTACCTGTATTTGAGTGCACCAAAGAAAATTTTTAACACTCTTCCCTCAAACTTATTTACTGATGGGGTAAACCCTGTAAAACCTTGAACCTGCACTATGTCTGCTATTTGGTTATTGCTCTTGTTTGGATAATGGAGTTTTTGGGGGAGGGGGATGTTCATCATGTTATTAGCCTGTCAAAGGATTCTTTTCCACAGTCTATCTAAAGAGTCTATCTTATCTAAATCTTGCATCTAAATTTTATAAGCAAAATGGCTTTCATTTTCTCTTATATATTTTCTTTCACATTTGTTGTTCTCTTTGTGCTAAAGCTCTTCTTGGTTGGGTCTTCATTTGTTTGTTCTTTTGGGTTCCTTTTCTTTGTTTGGTCTCTTATATTTTCTTTGTCTTTTTGGCATTGGGTAGACATCATCATGTCCTTAAGTCTTATAGTATGTAAGTGTCTAACCTGGTGGAACAGGAACCAATAGTTGGTATTTGGTTTGATATTACATTACACATTCCTTACCAGTTCAGTATGGGTTTCTAGTATAATAATATTCCAACTGCACTTGACCTGATGTATGCCACTATCTGTTTTCAGGCAGGAAGGAAAGATGATTAAACTTATCAGTGTCATTATGATGTAACATTATCACACCTGTTACTAGCTATTGCTTTGTTATATTTGCCATACTTTTTTCTGTGTACTTGTTTTACCAAGGATCTCTGAACCGTTATCCAAGTTGCTCTTTATGTTTCAAAATGAGGGCTTAGCTAGTGGGTGATAACATTTTTGGCCATTCTTCTTCTTCTTTTGCTTTCTAATTCTTTGGATCAACTTAATTTTGAATTCATGGTTATTTATCATTCAGGTTTTTGTTATGACCAATGTCTGTGATTCTTCACCATCTATCACAGGCCTGCGATGGTTTTATTGTCTTGAAATTTTACATGTTCTACAGTAATTCCTTTACGTTGAATCCGAAAATTTTATCCACTTTTCTCCATCACGTACAGAATTTTCACAAAATGTCATACGTACTTTTACATAAGTGAATCATTTTCGTTGAAGTCGGATCCCTTTTTGTTATGCTTAAAATGTTGACAACCACTGGCTATAGATATCTGTAGACCAGTCGCTATGTGAGAATCTTATTGATCATTCCAGAACCCACGAGAAACACATCACTAGTATGTAAACAGTTATCAGACCGCATGATGTGTCATTTCTTTATAGTATTTGTTTGTGCATGCACTTGGACATTTTTTCTTTTCAATATTATTTATTCATCTCTATGGCAACAAGAGGTTGTGTAAATGACCCAAACATATTCTGTTATATTTGTGGAAAATTTGTTGTAAAGAAACAGACATAACACTACAGAATTCATCAAAAAAGCATATTATGCATATTTTGGAATAAATCTTTGGGACCAAGACAGATTATGGGTTCCACACAAAGTTTGCACCATTTGTGTTGAAGAGTTGAGACAATGGACTAAAGATAAGAAAAAAAGTATTTGCCTTTTGGAATTCCAATGGTCTAGTGTGAGCCTAGAAACCATGAAGATGACTGCTATTTTTACTCATGTAATGTGCAAGGCTACAATACTCAAAATAAAAAGGAAATTTCTTGTCCGAACCTTCAATCTGCTATAAGACCTGTTGCTCATGGATCTGATGTACCTGTACCTACTCCACCAGAGACTCTTGATACAGTTTAATCCTATGTCAATAGAAATCATGATAGGGATTGTTTTCAACCTGAAACGTCTGGTGAACTACAACTTTTCACACAAGGTGAATTTAATGATTTGGTGAAAGGTTTGGACCTTCCAAAAGATTCTTCATAGATTTTGGGGTCCAGACTTTGGGCTAAGAACTTACTTTCTCCAGGGACATCATTTTACTGATACAGAAATCGTGAGAAAGATTCTACCATACTTTTTGCAAGAAGGTTCACTGATTTGTTGCAACAATATTGCTGAATTAATACCAGTGCTAGGAGCTGCAGTCTGTGAACAAAGTGAGTGGCAATTGTTCATTATTTCTCCAAAAGAAGTCTAAAAGGTGTTCTCCTTCACAATGGTAACATATATGCATCTGTTACTATTGCTCATTTGGTTCACTTGAAGGAAACATACAAAAATTTCGAACTTCTTCTTAATAAGATCAAATACAAAGAACATGGTTGGCTACTTTGTGGAGACTTAAAAGTCCTTTGTATGTTGTTGGGTCAACAATCTGGTTATACGATGTTTCCATGTTTTTTGTGTGAATTGGAAAGCAGAGCACGAAATCAGCACTGGATAAAGAAGCAATGGCCAAGGAGAGTCAGCCTGATACCAGGATTGAAAAACATTGAACGTG